CTGTCAAAAGCTTTCACAAAGTCCGTGTACAGAGTGCCCACTTGTTCGCCCTCCTCCATCGCATTAACCACGAAATTGAGGAATATGGCAAGATTTGTAGTGGATCTGCCTAGGTAAAAACCGCTCAGCTGCGTAACAATATAACTCTTAAATGCCCCAAAGAGCAGGTTGTTTACAATTTTATCCAACAGCTTTGGAATGGTAGACAGTTTTACAATGGGGCGATAGTTTTCAACTAAATTTTGTAGGCCCGACTTATAAATTGGGGAAATAAATGAGGTTTTCCACTCGTCAAGGAAGTCACCGCTTTCAAGGGACTTACTGAAAATTTTGGTGAGGGGCAGATAAACAACAATTTCTTAGAAACAAGGGTGGCAAAAGGTCATATCCTGCTTGAAACATATAAGTCTAAAAGCACTTCCAGAACTTGTTCCTCAGTGATAGCAAACTGTCCAATATTTATACATTCCAGTAAAGTAGAGGTGTCAAACGACGTTGTGACAGTATTAAATCTATCAAATACCGACCCAAAGAATCGAGCGAAAAGTTCACACCATGATAAAAGCATAGTAAGGTAAAACCGTTCTCCCAATGCGTAGGCCATGATTTTTTTTTGAAGTTTGCCAACATTTTAAAGTCATATAAAATTGAGAGTAAAAAAAGGAATTGTTCAAAGTTGTTATTGTTTGAGATTGAAAATGAGAATGTGGGTGTAAAATTTTAAAATTAAATTGTTTGCAAACGTCAAGAATTTTAAAAATTCCTCTCAGCGGCTCTAACTTGCTATATTTGTATCATGGTTCACACGATTCTTGTGTTGTGGAAGCGATAGAGTCCCCAAATGCCATGGATTTCGGGATGCCATTAACTTTACGTTTTGAGTTCAAAAACAACCAAAATGATTTAGGGTTAACTTTAATATTAGTATCTAGTGAATTAATAAATTTGTCGTATACAAATTTTGATAAGCATTCAAATTCTTTTCTACGCTGGACAAACATTTTTTATCATCGATGGAACCAGATTCTCTAAATTTTTTATGTGCATTATTCCGCTGATTTTTCAGTCTTAGTATATCTTTCGTGTACTACGGAAGATTAAAAGATCTCTTCTATTTATAGGTTGGAACGTATAAATTAAGGCCNATAAGCATTCAAATTCTTTTCTACGCTGGACAAACATTTTTTATCATCGATGGAACCAGATTCTCTAAATTTTTTATGTGCATTATTCCGCTGATTTTTCAGTCTTAGTATATCTTTCGTGTACTACGGAAGATTAAAAGATCTCTTCTATTTATAGGTTGGAACGTATAAATTAAGGCCTTCTTCTACCACTCCCTTAAACCTTACATACATGCTTGACAAGTCTAAGTGCTCAAAAATTTTGTTCCAGTCAATAGAGTCAAAGAGTGCGTTAAGGACCGCAAAGTTTGCTTTAGCATAATTAAAGATGTATTCGGGTTCGCTATGATCATTTTCGTACATATAGAATGAAAACTGGATTGCAATTGCTTTATGATGAACCGATTCACAGGTTAGAGGTACATCATGTCTATAAATATTAAAGGCAATGTCATTATTTATAGACTAAATCTAATATCGCTCGGCCAAACACTAACATATGTGTAAGCGCCAATCTATTATTATTTATTATTATAAATCTAATATTCTGCTTAGGTCGTTTACAATGTCGTTAATTTGAAATAAGTCAATAGAATAATGTATCACAAAGTAAGTCTTCACTATCCCTTTTATAGGTAAGAGGAGTTAAAATGCCATCTTCAGGATTTTTTACCCATTGAATAGTACCCAAATTAAAATCACCTAGAATGCATGGCGTTTGACAGGGTTGCAAAGAGTCCATAATAAGGCTAATATTATCAATATGTGACTTATATATGTCGTAACCACTATTAGGTGGGATGTAACTTGCAATAAAAAAGATTTCATTAAAACTATCGCGATGCGTTTCACCCATATTAACAGCGACACAGATTTGCTCGATGTTATCGCCAGTATGAAAAAGTTGTACTTCATGACTAGCAAGGGAAGATGACACTGCAACCAAAATGCCGCCACCTCTAGTTACTCCAGCCTGCAGTATTCGGTCTTTACGATAAACTTCATAGTAATCGTCCAAAAGCTCTGAGGATAGAAAATCGGTAGTTAGCCAGGTCTCAACAAGTATGATAATGTCGAAATCGTGTGTTGCAGCTGATTGGTACAGAGCATTTGTTTTCGTACGCAAAACGCCAACATTATGAAAGTAGACAGAGAGCTTAGAATTTCTGACAAATGTATCCATCAGCGGTTTGCTTCCATCGGGGCCCTTTTATGAAAAAAATCAAATGGGCGAATCTTGACTTCTTCTGGCCATAACTCCGAGTCTAATAGCTTATTGATGTAAGACGGTGGAATGCCGATTTTGAAATTAACTCGTTTAATACTCGCTTGGAGCATCTTTTTTTATTAGCTTATAGCAGGATATAAGATTAGCATCGATGTTTGCATGCCTAGCAATATAAGCGGAAATGTCTTTAGTTTCAACGGAGGGTTTGAACGAGCTTAAGTGAAACCATTTGAGGCGAACAGCAACATCAAGTTTGCAGTTAGCGTTCGAACCAACAACGATGTCCCGCATTTTGTCAATTCCGTTTGTCTTAGCATTTTTCTGACTGTTTGAACGATTTGAGCTTTTGTTGTTGTAGCTGGCCTTTTTGGCACGTAAGCGGGTAGGATCATCCTTACTGGCCGCAGTATCAACAGCAGCAGCCGTAGCATCTGCATATGATTGTAGAGAGCGATTGACTTCGGTTGCTGGGAGCGCAGAAGCATTCTCAATTGCACCAGTGCCTTCGTTTAATACAAGAACAGCTTCAATGTCGACAGAATTTTTTGCAGGAGAGATATTTAACGGCGGAGCTTGCGTTGTTAGTGGACTTGATACCTTATTAGAGTTGCTGTTGTTTGCGACTTGCACATTCTTCGAACAAACAACATCACCAGAAGCACAATTTGCCCGTGAAGCATTGAAAGAAGGCGAGACAGCAGAAGCGACAGTTAAGTCATGCAAATTAGGAGAACGATGATTACAGTTGTTATTGCATTCACTTAGGTAGACACTAGGGTTCGTTGAATTTGCGAAAATGCGATTGGCAGCATTAACATCGGTGTTTATTCCCTTGGTGTTGTTGTTGGCGGGTTATATTTTGATTTATTAGTATTATCAACTTGAGTTTTAATGTCTTTAATTTGATTAGATAACTTATTGAATTCCCGGTTAAAAGCTATAATATAATCGAATCAAAACCATGGGTTTGCGAAGCCAAGACAGCGTCATAGGCTTTACATAGCTTTCCAGGCATGTCCATACAGTCATTACACAGATAAACAATATTCCGGTTCCTTTTAAAAAGATTCATATCGTATTCCGATATTTGGCCTTTAATCACGCACGGTGAAAACTCTTTTTACAAAACCCACTGCAATGTACAATGGCAGAGTCATTTCTTGCGAAGGCTTTGTCACAAACCCCACACGAATCCTCCATTATATTTGGCAAAAAATAAAACCGAAAGAGCTTAACATAAACACGTCCTCACTGTTCGACTGCACTAACTACAATTTAAGTCAGTTTTATTTTTTACTTAAAAATTACTTGTTATCCCCTTAGTTACTTAGTTATTCCCTTTTGAAGTCAATATAATTTACTAGGATTAATCAAAATGCTCGAAACTATGAGAGAGTTGTGACACATTGTTTTGTTTTGCTGGTGTACGTTGTAATGATCTCATGATCTCATGTTTTTATGTTTTTGTTTGTCAAGATAAAATTTTACTACATCCTTTCGTACGTAATTTTTGTCGAAACGAAATGGAAGGGAGCGGGAGGCCTCTCCGCTATGCATAAGCACTGAATTCATTTCATATTTCATCGTACTAAATTTCAGTGCTCTTTAACAAATACTTTCCAAGACANTTCCGAAGAAATTCGGGCTATTCCGGCCGAAATGCTCGAAAAAGTTGCCCAAAATTGGACTTTCCGAATGGACCACCTAAGACGCAGCCGCGGTCAACATTTAAATGAAATTATCTTCAAAAAGTAAATGTCATGGACCAATCTAACGTTTCAAATAAAGAACCGATGAGATTTTGCAAATTTTATGCGTTTTTTTTTAAAAAAAAGTTATCAAGCTCTTAAAAAATCACCCGTTATTATGAAAAGGCGGTGCAACCCCACTTGATATATCAAAATTATTTTTAGCCTAGGACCATCTTTAAAAAGTCTGCAGTAGGAGTGTCAAATTTGATTTTGATTGGTCAAGCTGTTTAGGACGCAGCTCCGTGCTTACGTAGATGCATACATATGTATGTACATACATAATTTTAATTTTGTATATGTATTACGTTAGGGTGATTCAGAAAAAAAAAATTTTCTCGGAACCATGCTCAAGTTTGGTCCGCATCGCACTTTTCGATTTCCCATAAGAATAACATAGGACACATTTTTTTATAACTTCTGATTTTTATATTTAACAAACGATGCGTTGTACTGCAAAGGTCTTGGAGTATTTTTGTAGAGAAGTGAACGCTCTACAAAAAATGCCAGAAGTAATTTTTTGATAAGTCAACTCGGTCAAAGTCGAATTCACCATTCTTTAAACTCTGACCTCGAATAACTTTTGACCGAGTGGACTTATCGCAAAATTACTTCAGTGTTTAATTCTCTACAAAAATACTCCAAGACCTTTACAGTACAACGTATCGTTTGGTAAATATAAAAATCATAATAAAAAAAGCAATTTTTCTTGTGTTATTCTTATAGGCAATCGAAAATGCGATGCGGACATTCTTAATATTAATATTAAGGGCTCATATTTTAATCCTTATTTTGGAGTCTAAACGAGACTTTTGAGCATGGTTCCGAGGATAAATAATAAAAAATTTTTTCTGAATCGCCCTAATATACATAGATTAAGAACCTGAGTATCATACTCACCGTATTACATGCGTTGATATCTGTTATCTGTCCGGATTCCAAGAATTCCAGAACTTTGCCCAGATCGCCACCCCGCGCTGCTCGTAGAAACGAAATAGTCGCGTCATTCTGAGGAAAGAATAGTTGTTGTTTTAATTAATAAAAAAAACTCAATCTAAGTAAATTGCGAAATTTATTATTTAAATAAATTAATGCTATCGATAATGATAAGGCGATAAGATTAATTTAAAAAATTTTAAACGTTGCCATTCGGGGCTGTTGCTGAATGGGGTTTCATCAAGACTTTTATGGACTAAGGTTCCGAGGAAGATAATTCAAAAACTACCATCAATAATTTTTTGGTCTATGGAAGTAATTTCAGACATTAATTCCACAGATCTGATTCATGGAAGATGTGTCAGAAATAAGTTCCATGATGATTTTGTATTAAATTAGCCAGAGACATAACTATTATAAGAGAAAAGAATAAAAGTCGATCAATAATTATTATATTAAGACTAGCCAATGCCCGCTTGCTTCGCGGCGCCTAATAAGAACTTTTGCGTGGACCAATGCAAAAATAGCGTTTAGAAGAAAAACGGTATGTAAAGTAAAAAAAAAAATTTACGACTAAAGAGCAGAATCCTCCTCACACATAGGCCAAAAATAGTAGCGCTTTGATGACATATGGAATACTAAACCCTTTCGATGGCATGAGCTTTGCCGATGGTCTTATTTCTACCTGTGAAATCTCTGCCAAGCGTGCATAATCTCCTTTGATCTTGCAACTAAACATTGGTCCGATGCGGAAGCCAATAAAAGTCCTTATAAAGAAGCCTAAGAGAACAGATCAGCGTTGTCTGTTATATGAGGGCCAAGAGTCCTCGCTGCCCCATAGGATGAAAAGTTTTCCCGTACATTGGCTAAATGAGTCGTGTGATCTCTTGAATATCGTTCAAATGAAGACATTGATATACCAACCATGTTTCTTCTTGAACGGATGTTGACGAATCTTTCCTTGTCAATTCGCCACTTTTACAATTCGTCGAAATATTTATGAACTGGTTTCTTTGAGTCTTACTGCTGCAATAACGGCCGCACCGAGCAATTTCGTTAATCGGAGGTAAATGCAAGATCTCATTAAGGGTGTATGAGGGCGTCAGACAAAGGTGCGCTTACACAATTTCATTTAGCCATCTGAAAAGTAAATTCACATAAAATAAACATACGGCCAAAGCAGGCCAGACCCATGGGGTTTCTATACATTACGGCTGCAGAGCCATCCTTGGGTCTCTTTTCTGCAAAATCATTGCTTATCATGAAATGATTACGTATTATGAATTTCAACCAGGTTGTATTAAAAAAAAATAAGGATTTTCTAAATATCTCGCCTCCAGCGCCACCCAGCAGGTCCATTTTTTGCAAACAAAGTGATCATACAGGAGGCTCACATTGCGAATTTGAACGAAATCGGTCTATAAATACGACCCTTCTAAATGAGTCAACTCCAGTGCCACGAAGCGAGTTTTCTAGTAGTTAGTCCAGAGGTTCTTAAAGTGGGTTCCGCGGAACCCAAGGGTTCCGTAGAAAAGTCACCGGGGTTCCGCGAAATTAATTTTGGAGTGAATAAGCACGGCGGTCGGTTTGAGTTGAAAAAGTTGAGAAAGAAAAGTTCTATAAACAGCTTGACCGAGACGCAATTATCTATTTTCAAGTATACATACATATGTTCTCGTAGTTGGTATGATTGTCGTACTCAGTGCCATACCTACATAAGAGCGTTGAGCTTGCGCTTGACAACATGTTTTTGTTTCTAACCGTTATGTATTGTTGGCCGCTGTAACCAAAGGGTTATAAACAACCTACTACAAGGAACGCTATGAATTGCCAAATGAGATGTGAATTGTGATAACTGGGCACTTGGTAAATCACCTGAAATATTTGTCAGATTATTTTTCGGATGGTAGTAGTAATAAATATCGGCTTGGTACAAAGTTCATTTGCGAAGCATTCATGATCTTCAGAGTACTTCGACATGGAAACACGCATGTGTCTCTGAAAAAGACGTTTACCAAGACTCGACTGTATACCAAGCAGTCTTACTTTAAGCAACTGTCGGTTGCTACTTTAGTGGTCGTTTTACACAGCCCACTGTATACCTTCCTCTCTGGCTACTTAGCCTCGAATGCTCCTTCTATTTGAAAGCGCCGCTGCTTTTATACTATTTCGCAAGCCGGTCTACTTTTACTTTTGCACTAGCAAATCAATTGTATAAGTAGTTCATACTAATAACAATTCAAACATAAGTGTATTACAGTAGAAAATTCATTTGTACAATTCAGGACTTATATATGTATGTATGTACGTGTATAAAAATTTAATATACTTATATAAAAATCTCTTATGCATATATGTAAACATTAACTTCAAAATTTCATAATTCATTTATATATGTATATAAATAATAATTTAAAAAAAAAACACCATAATTTGTGGAGGCCCCAAAGGCCTATGAATTAGGGTCTTCACAATGTCAGCTGCTCATTTATCAAAAAATATATTTTTACTGAGTATATATTAAAGACTAGAAGATGACCCGGGAACTTCATATCATCTATAATTTATTTGAATTTCACTTTGATCAATTATAACAAATCTTCAAAATGCAATATAATGAGATCACTAATACTGCCTGCTGTTATAGCTGATAAAAGATTCCACACCTATGAGATGTGCCACGCCCCTTTTTACAAACTCATTTATATACATATATCTTTCCATAAGCACCTACCATAGGTATCTGTGCATTTCAAATTTCGAGTTCATGTGACTGTAATTCCGAAGTTAGAGCTGATTAAAAATTTTCACTATGGGAAGTACCCCTCATCCCCCTCCCCCCTTGGCGAGTTTCAATTTTTTACCCTATTATAGGTACCAGGAGTCATGGCAATACTTTGGCAAAATTTTATTCGATTCTGTACATCCGTTCAGGCTGCAACCTAGTACATACATACATACATACTTCCACAAATATATAGTAGATTTGCTTTGAAGCGCCATCTTGCGGTGCTTTAAATAAAAAATAGATATCAGAAATTAATTTTTCGTATCACAAAACTCCCGAGCACAACTCTTTATTACAAAAAAAAACATTCCTAACACTTTAGTAAATATTAATCTGATTATGGACTTAGTATTAATTAAAAATATTTTCTTTTAAAATTGCGCAGGCTCGAAATTGATTCTAGAGCTATGGTCTAAAAGGCTTTTTTTCTTAGAATTTTATGTAGAATCCGAATCTGCTAGGAACGATGTCGAAAAAAAAATTTACCCGCCCTAATCTATATATATAAAAATGAAATGTCTTTCGTATGACCGCGATGCCTGACCAAACGACCGAACCGATTTCAATTCTGTAAAAGGTACTATTTTGGACCTTCTGTGTGGGAGGTTTTTCGATTAAAAAAATTTCAAAACTTTTTGTTGTTGTTGCCAAAAAGTTAACAAATCTGAGACGCCACGATTTCACAATTTCATAGAGTTTTCCGTATATATTATGTCGCTAAACTACCAAACGGCTTAACCGATTTCGTTCATATTTGGAACATATCTCAGCATCTTGAAGGGAAATATTCCGACTAAAAATTTAACTGCTATGTGGCGCTGGGGCCGGGATATTCCTAAAAATTACATTTAGTTGCAGATTTGTCTTATATTTAGAACACTTGTTATCCAATTGAAAAGGAATATTTGGACTACAAAATTACACGATAGGGTGCGCTGGGGTAGGAATATTCCTAACGTTCTTATACAGTGGGAGAATGTTGGATATCTACACATATACATACGTCACAATAAAATATAGGAACCCCTTTTTTGAGGGCACCAATATATCTATTAAACCAATTACGCTGGGGAACTGAAACTTGACACGGATGCATAAATTGTAAATACCTTACTTACGGCGAAAATTGGAAGCTATTGGAAAAGGGGGCGTGGCACCTCCCATACATACTGAACATATCCTATCGCTTATCTCTGGGACCGCTTACGCCGACGTCCTGAAAAATGATACAGCTACATATGTTATCAATACCGAACTTATGGAAATTGGCAGGTATTGGAAAAGGGGGCGTGGCACCTCCCGTACAAACTGAAATTCTCATATCGCTTATGGCTGGAACTGTTTGAGCTAACGTCCTGAAATTTGACACAGCTACACATGTCGTCAGTAACGAACTTACTTGCTGTCTTCATTATCGTACAGCCATCGCAGGAGATCTGTCAGTTCCATCGCAAGCGCAATGATCATCGCAGAGAAATTTTGGTACTTGGGCATGTCATCGCAGAAGATTTCATTTCAAAAACTGCTTACGACACATAACGAAAATTACTGTATTCGCAAAAATAGCTTACTCCACGTTTTTTCGAGCATATAAATATATAATAGAAAAACACAACTTCAACAAAATGTAAAGTTAAAAAAAGCCCTGAAGCTAATTATTTAACAGTTCATCCTTGCGATGAGCGGTCTACACAAGCGAATCATCGCCAACGATCTATTGGGGACAGCAAGTTACGTCTAAAAGTGGTAGTTATTGGAATGGCTGCACCTANAAATTGCTCGGTGCGACCGTTATTGCAGCAGTAAGAATCAAAGAAACCAGTTCATAAATATTTCGACGAATTATATAAGTGGCGAATTGACAGGGAAAGATTCGACCACATCCGTCCAAGAAGAAACACGGTTGGTATATCAATGGCTTCATTTGAACAATATTCAAGAGATCACACGACTCATTTAGCCAATGCACGGGAAAACTTTTCATCCTATGGGGCAGCGAGGACTCTTGGCCCTCTTATAACAGAAAACGCTCATCTGTTCTCTTAGGCTTCCTTATAAGGACTTTTATTGGCTTCCGCATCGGACCAATGTTTAGTTGCAAGATCAAAGGAGATTATGCACGCTTGGCAGAGATTTCACAGGAAGAAATAAGACCATCGGCAAAGCTCATGCCATCAAAAGGGATTAGTATTCCATATGTCATCAAAGCGCTACTATTTTTGGATTCTGCTCTTTAGTCGTTTAAATTTTTTTTTTACTTTACATACCGTTTTTTCTTCTAAAC